CCCTTGGGGTGTCCATGGGGCTGTGCAAAGGGGTCTCCAGCATATTCCTTCCTGGAGCAAGGGAGGGGGGCTCCAGAGACCCCCAGAAAGGCAAGTTGACCAGTTCATGGAGAAAAGTCCTGTTGGTGGCTCCTGGCTGTGCTGTGACCCCCCCCCCCCCGTCACAGTGATGCTTCTGAACGCCAGGTGCTGGAAACCCCAGGAGGGTGGGGATCTCATGCGCCCAGATCCTGCTCGCTGGGTTCCCAGGGGGACTTCCGATCGGCCGCTATGAGAACAGGATGCAGGGCCAAATCTAGCAGCCAGGCTCTTCATGTGTCAAGGAAATGCGTTTTTTATTTTGGTTGGGGCGGGCTTTGCATCCTTGCCTCTCCTCGTCTCTCAGCCCAGGGGCTCAAAGCAAACGGCCCCTTTTAAAAAGTGGGGCAGGCAATGGGTCTGCGCTGCACAGCTGGGCCCAGGGAGCAAAATGAACGCGTGGTTCTGAGCCCACGTGGTCCCCTCCGCCGTTGGGTCGCTAGGCCTTTCCCAGCCCTTCCTTGAGGCCCTTGGGCTTCTTGCAAAATGCTCCCCCTGGGGCAAAGTCCCGGCTTGTGGAAATGAAGCTCTGAGTTCCAATCCAGACCTTTCAAGTCTCCCAAGGCTGGGTGCAGAAGGGAGCAAAGGCAGGGAGCAGCCGTCGCTTTGCCTTCTGTCTTCCTCCAGCCAGGAAAGGGACGGACCCGGGAGGGGTCCCTCGTCCTGCCTGAGCCCCGCCCTCTCGCCCCTCCGCAGGTGGTGACGGTGGGCCGGGACTTCCAGTGCTGCGTCTGGCAGCGGGACCAGATGGTGACGGGGCTCCACTGGAACGAGAACCTCCCGGGCATCCCGGAAAAGGCCTACCGCTACCAGGCCTGCAGGTAACGGGCTGGGCGGGGGGCAGGCGGGGCCCCTGCGTGGGCTGTCCGTCCCCTGACGCCTCCTCCCCCTTCTGGCGCAGGTTCGGGGCGGTGGAGGACCAGGCTCAGGCGCTGCGTCTCTACACGGTGCAGATCCCCTACAAGCGGGAGCGGCGCCCGCCCCCCTGCTACATCACCAAGTGGGACGGGCACAGCTTCCTGCCGCTGCTCACCAGGCCCTGCGGCAACGAGGTCGTCTCCTGCCTCTCCGTCAGGTAGGGCCACACCTCTCTCACTTTCCTCCTTTCGGGGTCCTCCCGGCACTGAGGGGCTCCACTCCCCCCGTCCCTGACCACTGGCCTTGCTGGCCGTTGGGGGTTGGAATCTGATGGCGTCGGAAGAGGGGCCGGTCCCCTTGGCCGGCTGCTGGAGCAAGACTGAGACTGAAGCTCCCGGCTGCCTGCAGACTGTACTGTCTTGGGTTGAGGCCTTTCTCCTTTAATCCCAGGTGGGTGCTGTAGTTGAGATTCCTGCCTTGCTGGGTTGGGCTAAATAATAATAATAATAATAATAATAATAATAATAATAATAATAATAATATATTATACCCCGCTCATCTGGCTGGGTTTCTCCAGCCACTCTGGGCGGCTTCCAACAAAACACTAAGATACAATAACCTATTAAACATTAAAAGCTTCCCTAAACAGGGCTGCCTTCAGATGCCTTCTAAAAGTCAGATAGTTCTTTATTTCCTTGACATCTGCTGGGAGGAGGCACCACCACCGAGAAGGCCCTCTGCCTGGTTCCCTGTAACTTGCAGGGAGGGAGCCGCAAGAAGGCCCTCGGCGCTGGACCTCAGTGTCCGGGCTGAGCAATGGGGGTGGAGACGCTCCTTCAGGTCTACTGGACCGAGGACTCTCGGGGTCCCTTCCAACTCCACAATTCCATGAGAGGCCCCTTGGAAGTCCTCAGGGAGGGAGGCTGCCTTTCTTAGGAACCGTACAATCACAGAACTGTAGGATTGGAAGGGCCCTCATGGGCCATCTAGTCCAACCCCCTGCAAGGCAGGAACCACAACTAAAGGGTCCCTGGTGGCTGGTCCTCCGACCTCTGCGTAAACCCCTCCAATGAGGGGTTCTTCATGCGCTCTGGGGGTGAGATGTGTCTGGCCTTGAAAGGGCTCTCTGTATATATTCTAAAGAACTTTTGACATACTTGCCGATTGCTGTTAGGCAAACACAGAAGCGCAACCCAAGAAGCCGTTGCGCAATGTAGCCTGGCGGGCCGGGCGTCAGAGCCCTTGCGACACTGCAAGCACCCACACCCCACGTTTGCTGTAGGTTAAAGGGAGTTTATTTTATCTTCCTTCGGATCACGCAAAGAGCACCTGTCTGAAAATGCAGGACAATTTGCCTTGCACGATCTTCTCCCCATCGAGGTCCAGCTTCTGTTTTTGCATTTGCAGTGACTTTTGCCTCCCCCTGACGTAAGATTTCTGAAGATGTGCCAATGCTCCCGCTCTTCTGTTTTTGTTATGTGTCTTATGCCGCCTTTATATTTCCCGTGCAATTTTGGGGTGGGGGTCCCCCACAAACCTGCCTGCCTGGTTCTGAAGCTGACGGCTGTCTGTCTGTCTGTCTGTCTGTCTGTGCTTGCAGTGACACGGGCACATTCCTGGGGCTGGGCACCGTCACGGGCTCCGTGGCCATCTTCGTGGCCTTCTCCTTGCAGGTAGGCAACTTCCCGCTCCTTCCCAGGCGACTCCTGGCCTCATGGGCAGCCCTGACAGTGCTAGCCCAAGGGCAGGAGAGAGCCAGCAAAGGCCCTGGGCAGGTCCTGGGGCTGGACGACAGGGAGGGCTGGAGTCCAGCTGGGAGGGACCCACCTTGCAGTGCTGGTGTCAGAAAAGAAAAGCCCCCCCCCCAGCCGGCTGGGCAGGGGTGGGGCTGAGCCTGAGGACAGGCATGCTGCAGGCATGGCCAGCTGCCTTCCCTCCAAGGGTGGGGGCCTAAATGGCATCGGGGAACAAGTGCTGATCCTGAGAGCCCATCGCTGTTCCACCCACCCACCCCCCGGAAGACCTTCATGTGAGGCCTAGGACTCTCGTACCTACGGGACCGCCTCTCCCAATATGCCAAACGGAGGACCTTAAGGTCCATAAATAGCAACACCCTAGAGGTCCCGGGCCCTAAGGAAGTTAGATTAGCCTCAACCAGAGCCAGGGCCTTTTCAACACTGGCCCCGGCCTGGTGGAACGCTCTGTCTCATGAGACCAGGGCCCTGCGGGGTCTGATTTCTTTCCACAGGGCCTGTAAGGCAGAGTTGTTCCGCTGGCCTTTGGCTTGGAATCAACTTGATTCCAGTTTCTGGAAACTACTGGAAAGTAGCTCTCGCACTCGGATCCTCTCATGTGTTTCCCACTGGGGAATATGGTTGGCGACAGTGAGAACAGGATGTGGGGCGTGAGGGGCCCCTGGCCTGACCCAGCCGGCTCTTCTTCTCTCCCGCAGAGGCTGTACTACGTGCGAGAGGCGCACGGCATTGTGGTGACGGCGTTGGCTTTCCTGCCGGACACCCCTGACCTGCTCCAGGACAACGAGGCGGCCCTGCTCAGCGTGGCCGTGGACAGCCGCTGCCGCCTGCACCGCATCCCTTGCCGACGTAGGTCGGGGGTGGGGCCCCTGCCCTGCCACAGGGGGGCTTGGGGGGGCCTCTTCCCTGCTTTGCTCAGTCGTCTCCCCTCTCTCCCCGCAGGGAGCTTCCCCGTGTGGCTGGTGCTGCTCTTGTGCGCTGGACTCATCGTGGCCTCGGTCCTGCTGCTCCAGCTGGCCTTCCCCGGCTTCCTCTAGGCCTCGGCTCCGCCCTTCCTGCGCTGGGGGGGCGCCCACCCCTTCCTCATCCCACAGACTGCAGAAGGCCTCGGGGTCCAGGGCGAAGGCTGCCCCCTCAGAGCCTGCGGACAGGTGTGCTTGGCTGAGCCAGGGGGGCAGAACCCCCACAGATGAAGTCTTGGGGTGGGGCATGAACTCTCCTCGTCCCCCGTCCCCCCCGCTGGTGACTACGGGGTGGGGCAGCCCCACTCCTCCGTTTTTGGACTGCCACGTTGAAACATTCCAGCCTCGGCTGCGTTGGGCAAGCGAGGCCCCTCCCAGCCCCACGACGGGGGTCTTGCAAGTTGCCATTAAACGAGATGATGGAGCAAGAGCTCTGCTCCCTGCCTGCCTCGTCTGTCCCCTCCTGGCTGGAGCGGGGCTGGAGCACCCCACAGGTGCGCGAGGGGCTGTTTTGCCCCAAGACTTGGAGCAGTGGAGGTGGTCTGCCACGTGGGACCCCTTCCCCGCTCTAGTAAATGGCTGCAGCCTGGGAGCCCCCACCTGGCCTTGTGCCCCTGGGTGTCCAGGCGTGGGGGTCAGGGCACGAGGGGCTGTTGGGCTTGTGCCTTTTGTGGGTACATGTGCTTTTTAGGGGTTGCATGTGCCATCAAGCTGTGGAAATGCTGATCAGAGCTCAGATTCTTGCCTTGCAGCAGGTTGGACTTAGATGACCCACGACTTATGCGATGACCCAACTAAGCCACTAAAAATTCCCCTAAGCTGTAATCTGACCTCCTTCCTCTTGCTCAACTCCAGTATCTGTTTTCCCTCCGTGTAACTCTAAAGCCCTCCCTTCCTGCGGCTGAGACGATCCTTTGCTCCGCCATGTGCAAAGCCTGTCAGGAATCTCTCAGCTGCTGCTGGGTTCCTCCAGCTTCCCAGGAAGCTCACATTCCTGCAGATCAGCTGTGAGGATCCTGCTACCGATGCCATTGGCTCCCAGTTGCCGTGTCCTGAAATGACGCCGGCCCTTTATTTTCCCAGCAATGAAGTTGTATTACGAACGGCCTTTGCAGGTGCAAGCAAGGCTTACCTGGCTCAGCGGCAGCCCAGGTGTGCTCTGAGCTGGCTGCCCATCACCCCCTGAGGGAGTGAACCAGGAAATCAGAGGCTGGAGGGCGACAAGGCCCAGAGCAGTTGTGGAAAGGACAATGAATGGTCTCCCCACAAGCCCACACCTGCTGCCCACCATGCAGCCTGGCTCTGAGTGGCACTGAGAGATTTTTGTGGGTTAGGTGGGGGTAGAATGTCCACATTTGTGTGTGTTTATTTTACAGGAAATGGACCCAACTCATTCAAAGATCTCAGCCCTTTCTCTCCTTTCACCAGTTCGGCCTCCGGTGGCCGCTGCTGGCTGGGAGTGGCTCTCTTGGGTCTTTATTATTATTATTGATTATTGATTAAACTTGTTAGTTACTTAGGGCAGCCCAAAGCGGCTTGCGACCATTTTAGATGGGTGTCCTTTGCCAGCTGTTCTATAGTTCTTTAACTGGCAGCCGCTCTCCAGGGCTCCAGCTCTCCCTGGAGACGCTGCCAAAGGGGTTTGAACCCAAGGCCTTCTGCAGGCAGAGCAGCTGCTCTGCCCCCGAGCTCTTGCTGCCCCCCCCCAAAGAAAGAGGGGAAAGGGCTCCTCACTGGGGTGGAAGCAAGTTTCTGGGCGAGAGAAGTGCAGCTTCCTTTGTGCCCAGAATGGAAGCAGCCTCACGCCAAGGTACTGGAAAAGTCATCTTGTATTCTGTACAGTCCTGGTCCCAGCAGAGCCAGGCTCTTGGAGGGGCTGCTTGCCTCTGGTTCCCCCCCTTGGAAGGAGCAGGGAAACAGGCTCAGGCCCTCCACCTGTGGGGCTCACAGGGCCTGCGCTGGGGGCCACAGGGCCCTCCTGCTCCTCCCTGGTTCTGCTTAGGAGGTTGCCACCTGGGCGCCTGGCCCCTGTTCGTGGCACTGCTGCAGCTGCTGCTCCTGCTCGGCTGCCACGGCGGCTGCCAGCTCCTCCTGGTGCTCAAAGACGGCCCCCGCAAACTGGGCGAAGACGCGGTCCATGTAGCTCTGGTGGCGCGGCAGGAGCCCCTCCAGGAAGCCAATGTGCCCTCCTCGCGCCGTCACCAGCAGCGCCAGGGTGGAGACGCTCTGGGCTTCCTTCACGGGGATGGCTGCAAGGAAGGCGGATGGGGGTCAGTCGAGAGCAGGAACCCCGGGGGGAGAGGGGCGCCTGCCTGGGAGGAGGCCGGGGGACTCACCGTGAAGCGGGGAAAAGGGGTCGTCTGAGGCGTTGAGGCACAGCACCGGGACCCGGAAGCTGTGCACCTTCTGGCAGGGGCTGGCGGCCTGGTAGTATTCCTCGCAGGAGCTGTAGCCAAAGGCCACAGCCGTGTAGCGCTCGTCAAACTCCCGGATGCTGCGCGCCTGCAAAGAGAGCGCACAAAAGCGTTCGCTGCGGTGTCGCAGGGGGGTTGGGCTGGATGACCCTTGTGGGTCCCTTCCAACTCTTCCAGGGAGGGGGCCGTACCTTCAGCACGTGGTCCACATCAATTCGCTCAGCAATGACCTTCCTGTGCCTGAAAATAGGGTTGAGGTGTGAGCAGGGAATGGAAAAGGGGGGGGGGTTGGGGAAGGAAGAGCCGAAGGGCAGAGGGTCTTGGGGCCCCTCCCTCCCGGAAGGGGGCCGGAATGCCAGACCTGCCTCTGCCCCCCCCCCCACAACAGCAACGCACCGCTGGATGAGCTTGCGCAGGTTGGCCGTCAGGTGCTGGTTGAAGAGCACCTGGTTGAGGGGGCTCTCGAGGGAGTGGGTGGTCTCGAAGGAGTCCCAGCTGACGGAGCACGTCATGGCGGCCACCAGTCCGGCTTCTGGGCCCTTGCGCCCCAGGTAGTTCAGCACCAGGATCCTGGGGGCAGGAAGAGGAGTTTGGATTTGATATCCTCATTTATCACTTCCCTTCAGGAGTCTCAAAGCGGCTCATATTCTCCTTTTCCCTTCATCCCCCACATCAAACACTCAGTGGGGTGAGTGGGGCTAAGAGACTTAAGAGAGAAGTGTGACTGGCCCAAGGTCACCCAGCAGCTGCAGGTGGAGGAGCGGGGAAGCGAACCCGGTTCCCCAGATTACGAGTCCACCGCTCTTAACCACTACACCACACTGGCTCTCCAGAGGGATGCTTCAAATGGATGGAGGGGTGGCTTTGCCCCAGGTACGTTCTGGGCACAGCTGGACCATCAGTCCCTGTCCTGCCCCCCCCTGAGCCCCTCTATATTGCAGGCTGCCCCTGTGATTGGCCAGCAGTTCTCTGGGAAGCCCTCTCCGTTTGGAGAAAAGGCAGCACAATAGAAGTTTATAAAATGGGGGGAAAAGTCCTTTATGTAGCACATGGTTAAAGTGTGGAACATTGCAAGATTTGGGATGGATTTAAAAGCATGAAGTTAAACTGTGGAACTCCCTGCCACAGGAGGCAGTGCCGGCCACCAAGCTGGAAGGTTTTAAAAGAGGAGGAGACAAATTCATGGAGGAGGAGAGGGCCGTCATTGGCTACTAACCACGATGGCTATGCTCTGCCTCAACACTGAGAGGCAGCGATGTTTCTGGATTCATAGAACCATAGAGCGGAAAGGGAGCCAAGGGTCATCTAGTCCACCCCCCTGCAATGCAGGAATTCCCGTCACTGGAGGGGAGGGGACTCTTGCGCTGGAATCCTGCCCTTTAGAGCCACTGGGTGAACAGCGGCTTGATCCTGCAGGCCCTTCTTGCGCTTCTGTGCAGTGAAATGCGAACGGCACCCGCACGCTCTTCTTTGGGGCCAAGACTCAGGGCAGCTTTCAGGCTGCTCAGAACATTTTTTCAGGTCCAAACAGCTCCAAACAGCTGCAGGCCAAAGGCTGGCACCCCCCCCAAGGGAGCTGCTCCAGTAAAAGCCCACCCACCCCCATTCTGGAGCGTCCCCCTTGAGCCACTTCCGTTTTGCACTTCCGGGTCCTGGTTTCACATTTTCCGCGCTGGCAAGAGAATGTGGGCAAGTTCTAGAGGAGGAGGCCTGCCAGTCCAGAGGGGCTAACAGGGCAGACCTGGAACATCTGGAGCCATCAGATCTGCCACACCGTGGCTTATAGGAAACGAACACCAATGGCTGCCACAGGCCACTTCCGGGGTCACACTGGAGCATTCCTCTGGGATTCCTAGCAGTCCTGGGGGTCCCTTTCTCAAGCAGACTGGATCTGGTGGTGGAAGAGGGGTACAGCCCCGTGGCAGCCCAGAGCTGGACTGAGCCCCTTGCTCTTTTGGGTCAAGGTTATCAGCTGAATTAAAAGACGCCTGCTTCTTGGGAGAAAAGCGATGACAAACCTAGACAGCATCTTAAAAAGCGGAGACATCACCTTGCCAACAAAGGTCTGTATAGTTCAAGCTCTGGTCTTCCCAGTAGTGATGTATGGAAGTGAGAGCTGGACCATCAAGAAGGCTGATCGCCGAAGAATTGATGCTTTTGAATTCTGGTGCTGGAGGAGACTCTTGAGAGTCCCATGGACTGCAAGAAGATCAAACCTATCCATTCTGAAGGAAATCAGCCCTGAGTGCTCACTGGAAGGACAGATCCTGAAGCTGAGGCTCCAAGACTTTGGCCACCTCATGAGAAGAGAAGACTCCCTGGAAAAGACCCTGATGTTGGGAAAGATGGAGGGCACAAGGAGAAGGGGATGACAGAGGACGAGATGGTGGGACAGTGTTCTCGAAGCTACCAGCATGAGTTGGACCAAACTGCGGGAGGCAGTGGAAGACAGGAGGGCCTGGCGTGCTCTGGTCCAGGGGGTCACGGAGAGGCGGACATGACTAAACGACTAACAACAAATCACCTGAACCTCTGAGGGCTGCCCAGGGGCTTCCCTGAGCCCCAGCTGGCAAACGTGCTCTTGCTAGTAAGGGAAACCTTTCTGTAGCATCAAGCAGAGACGTGACGCTGCTGGGAGCAAACGCCTGAGTCATAGGAGGAGGAAGGCTGACTCACCGGCTCCCGTAAACACCACAACCGGGCAAGCTGGGCTCTGCCTTCCCTTTCACCCAGATAATCAACCGCAGCCGAGTCCCGGTTGTGTGGGCGCAAAAGCCTCTCCAGCATTTCAGTTCCTTTCCCCTCCCACCATGGCTGGATTCGGGGACACAGGAGGTCAGGGCTGTGGGTCCCTTGAGCAAGGGGAGCCTTCAGCCTTCCAAAGGGTCCCCCTAAGGACACCCTAACCGGCTTAAGAGAAGCGGCAGGGGCAGGAGGAGCCTTTGGGAAAGAGACCCACTGGCAGGAGACTCCGCTCCAGAGTGTCCTCGCCCAGGACTTAGGCGCTGCCAGGAGCTGTTTCTGTGCCCTTTGCCCCGTCGCCCTGGAAATTTGTCTTAGGGGAGAGGCAGCTTGGCTCATAAACAGAGTCCTAGCAGGAGGCAGAGGTCATTCTCCAGCTCCTGCCTTGTGGGTGGGCCCTGGAGTGAGGCTGGCAAGAGAACAGCAGGATCTGACCAAAGGGGCCCTTTGAGTCCAGCCCCCGGCTCTCACGGGGGCACCCAGATGCCCAGAAGCAAGCGGGAGCTGAGCCCCACAGCCCCGTCTCCTTCCTGAAGTGCCCAGCAGCCAGGATTCGGGGGGGGGGGGAATTGCCTGGGGGGGGGCAGAAGGAAACCTGGCCTCAGGCGGGGGGGGGGATTTGGGGGCGGGAGGCCCAGGCTTCTTTCAGCAGGTACCTCCTAGCTCGGCTCAGCAATGCTTCTGAATCTCAGTTCCAGGAAACCGCAGGAAGGGAGAGTTACTCTTGTGCTCAACTCCCGCTTTTGGGTTTCCCACAATGGGCACTCTGTGAGGACAGAATCCTGGGCTAGAAGGGCCAGGGGCCTGATCCTGCAGGCACTCCTGGTGCTCTTTCCTTCCTATGAGAAGGAGGCCCAAGATGGGAGGCAATGGGACTCCCCATCGTGGGGCAACGGAGCCGCTTCTCTGCAGCGCAACTCCCGTTTCCCACCCGCCTCCCCCCTTGCCCTGCCGGAGCCTCACCCGCCCAGCGAAACGCCCACCGCCATCAGGGGGGCCCGGGGGAAGCGGCTCTTGATGTGCCCCACCACCAGCTCCAGGTCTTCAGTGTCGTTGGCGCAGAAAGCCCTGTGGGTCTGTGGAGGGAGGAGGAGAGAGGGGAGATGGTGGGTGAGGCTTGCCTCTTCTGCAGAGACAGAGTTGGGGTGCCCATCCTGCCTTTGCCCTGCAGTCCCAGAGCACTCTCCCCTTCCCTCCCCCAGCACCCAAGGGTGCACCACCCCCAGCTATGGCCCCACTCACCAGCAGCTCCTCTCCTTTGCAGCCTCGGTTGTTGAACACAACAGCCCTGCGAGGGAGACGGGAAGAGAGTGAGAACCCAGGAGAAGGCTAGTTGTGGCTGCAAGTCACAGTGGCTACATGCTATGCCTGTTGCTGCAAAACAGCAGCTGGGGGGAGAGAGCCAAGACCCTCCTGCCCTGGCACTCCTGGGGGTCCTGGGCAGGGGGGGCACCTGGCTGGCCACTGTGGGAACCTGGATCATGGGCCCCCTGTGACCAGACCCAGCAGCTGGGCTCTTCTCATTTTTTTATGATTGCTAAATGGAACCTCCATAGACAGAATCAGTTGACCTTAGGGTAGTAAACAAGAATGGGAAAAGGCAGCGGTGCGTAATGGTTAGAATGCTGGACTAGGACCTGGGGTAAAGGTAAAGGGACCCCTGACCATTAGGTCCAGTCACGGATGACTCTGGGGTTGCGATGCTCATCTCGCTTTATTGGCCGAGGGAGCCGGCATACAGCTTCCGGGTCATGTGGCCAGCAGGACTAAGCCGCTTCTGGCGAACCAGAGCAGCGCACGGAAACACCATTTACCTTCCCACCGGAGCGGTACCTATTTCTCTACTTGCACTTTGACGTGCTTTCGAACTGCTAGGTTGGCAGGAGCAGGGACCGAGGAACGGGAGCTCACCCCGTCGTGGGGATTCAAACCACCGACCTTCCGATCAGCAAGTCCTAGGCTCTGTGGTTTAACCCACAGCGCCACCCGCGTCCCAGGACCTCAAATCCCCCCTAGGCCATGAAACTCGCCTCTCAGCCTACCCTACCTCACAGGGTTGTTGTGCGCCACCTTGAGCTCCATGGAGAGAAAGGAGGGGTGTTAACGCAACACGTAATACCACCGCCAATGCCAGGACCCCCCCCCAACCAGGGCACCCTTTCCCACCTGTAGCCCCGTTGCTTGACGCCCAGGACCATGTGCAGAATGTAGGTCTCCTGGCTGTTGCCCGTCAGGCCTGGCAGGAACAGGACAATGGGGCAGCTCTCTGGGTCAGGGTGCTGCCCGCTCTCGCCGTCTGCCCAATCCAGCAGCAGCTGGCCTCCGTCTGCGGTCCTCAGCACTTCACTGGATGGGAAAGGGCAAAGAGGAGGAGGCGGGTGAGACGGGCTCCCTGGCATCACAGCCCCATGCCCACCATCTCCCAAGCAGACTGGCACCAGCCCCCACCTTGGGCCTGGCTCCCTCCCCACCCTCGTCCGGCTGACCTGCGGTAGGAGACGGGCGGGCTGGACTTGAGGAAGACGCGGACGATGGTCTGGAGCCGTCCTTCGAAGCACCAGGGCGTGGGGTAGAAGGTCTCGTTCACAATGGGGCAATATTTCTCCAGGAAGGAGCGGAAGGGCTGGCAAGCCACCAGCAGCGGGGGCTGCGGGGGGTGGGGGTGGGGGGAGAGAGGAAGGTCACAGGGAGCTCAAGCTCAGCGCTGCCCCAGAGCTCTCCTTCCTTGGAGTTCAATAGTCCTGCATTGCGGGGTTGGACTAGATGACTTCTAGGGGTCCCTTCTAACTCTACCATTCTAAGCTGCATCTGCTGCTGCTGCCCACACAGAGGTTGCTTTCCTGCCTCTTGCCAAAGGGCCTCCGGCTGGCATTTGTCGTGCCCCTAGGCAGTGTCCTCTCCTGGTTCCACAGGGAGACCCTTTCCTGCAAAACGCCTTTCACAGGCAAACACTTGTTGCTGCCCAAAAATCCTTCCTAATGTTTAGTTGGGATCTCCTTCCTTGTCATTGGAATCCATTCATTTGGGTCCTGCCCTCCAGAGCAGGAGGAAAAGCGATCCATGTGACAGCCCTTGAGATATTGGAAGATGGCTATCATCATCATCATCATCATCATCATTTATTATTTATACCCCAGCCACTCTGGGCAGCTTCCAACAAAATATTAAAATACAGTCATACCTCGGGTTGAATGTGCTTCAGGTTGAGTGCTTTCAGGTTGCGCTCCGCGGCGACCCAGAAGTAATGGAGCGCGTTACTTCCGGGTTTCACCGCTCGCGCATGCACAGACGCTCAAAATGACATCACGGGCATGCATGGAAGCGGCAAAACGCGACCCGCGCACGCGTAGACATGCCGTCGCGTCTTACATTCCATTCAGGATGCAAACGGGGCTCCAGAATGGATCCCGTTCGCATCCCAAGGTACCACTGTACAGTAATGCAACAAACATTAAACATTAAACAAACATTAAAACATTAAACAAACATTAAAAGCTACCCTGACGCCTTCAGATGTCTTCTAAAAGTCTTGTAGTTGTTTTTCTCTTTGACATCTGGTGGGAGGGCGTTCCACAGGGCGGGCGCCACCACCGAGAAGGCCCTCTGCCTGGTTCCCTGTAACTTGGCTTCTCGCAGGGAGGGAACCACCATATCAGTGGCAGATTGGGGGGTCTCCAATTTCAGGGGTACCACGTGTGCAACACCAATATTTGCGCCAGTTGCGCTTCCCTAAATCTGCCTTTGATCACATTGCCTCTCGGTCTCTCTTTTCCAGCCTAAACACCCCAACTTCCTCCTCCGTTCCTCACGAGGCTGTTTCCCAGACCCTTCCCCGTCTTCCGCCCAACTTCCAGCTTGTCGATACCCTCCTGAAACTGAGCTGCCCAGAACCTCAGAAGGTGCTTCTCTGCCCGGGAGAGCCAAAACCAGGCGTGGCTGGGAGGAATCTAGTTTCTGTCCCTGATTATTGTTGTGGCAAATACCTAATGAATACTTCCGAGCCTGTTTTCCAAAGCGGGGGTTTCGTGTGTCAGCCTCACACCCAGCCCGAGGCGGGCAGGCAGGCAGGCAGCCCACCCCGCCGTCGGGGGCAAATGCCAGGCTTAGCCCCGAGACCCCCGAGGGAAGGAGCAGAGAGCAGAGATCCCCGTGACCCTCCCGGTGTCTCTTGCCTCCACCTCGGAACCTGGCCAGGGGTCACGTCGGGCTGCCGTCGGGGGAGCTGGGCTCGTGGGAGGAGAAGGGTCCCCCCTGCCTAGTCCCTCGCCCGCAAGAGGGGTGCCAAGGATGCCCGGGACGCCCTCTCCCCCTGGCCAATGGGCTCAGCCTCCGCCCGCCCCGTCGAGGCTGCCCACACTGACCTTGGGGACGCGCGCCCAGTAATAGGCCAGCCAGCCGGTGCTGAAGCCCAGCAGCAGCGACAGTCCCAGCATCTCTCCGCCGTCCGCGCCGTCGGGCAGGTGCTGCTGCTGCTGCTGCGGCGAACGAGGCGCCCAGAAAGTGGCCGGGACGGGAAGGCGCTCGCGCAGGCGCACACGCTCGCCCGGCCTCACCGGGGAGGCCATCTTTGGAACGGGCATGAAGCCGCGCCCCGCCCACCCGCGCCCATCTTTGGGGCGGGCGCTCCAGTCCAGCCTGAAGGAGCCCAAAGGGAGGGAGGCTCCTTAGCCCAGTTTCTGAAGGAGGAGCTGGCCGGTCCCCCTCTGAGAGCTCTGTCCATGCTCAGAGGCACTCTTCTTTCCCTCCCTCCCAGGCTGAGCAGTGGAGAGAGGGAAGGAAAGATAATAAATGTAATAATCATAATTTATTATTTACCATATACCCCGCCCATCTGGCTGGGTTTCCCCAGCCACTCTGGGCGGCTTCCAACACAATATTAAAATACAGTAATACATCAAACATTAAAAGCTTCCCGAAACAGGGCTGCCTTCAGATGTCTTCTAAAAGTCTGGTAGTTGTTCTTTGACATCTGGTGGGAGGGCGTTCCACAGGACAGGTGCCACCACCGAGAAGGCCCTCTGCCTGGTTCCCTGTAACTTGGCTTCTTGCAGTGAGGGAACTGCCAGAAGGCCCTCGGAGCTGGACCTCAGTGTCCGGGCTGAACAATGGGGGTGGAGACGCTCCTTCAAGTATACTGGACCGAGGCCATTTAGGGCTTTCAAGGTCAGCACCAACACTTTGAATTGTGCCTGGAAACGTCCTGGGAGCCAATCTAGGTCTTTCAAGACCGGTGTTATGTGGTCCCAGTCTGGCTGCCGCATTCTGGATTAGTTGTAGTTTCCGGGTCACCTTCCAAGGTAGCCCCACATAGAGTGCATGGCAGTAGTCCAAGCGGGAGATAACCAGAGCATGCGCCACTCTGGTGAGACAGTCAGCGGGCAGGTAGGGGCTCAGCCTGCGTACCAGGTGGAGCTGGTAAACAGCTGCTCTGGACACAGAATTGACCTCCGCCTCCATGGACAGCTGTGAATCCAAAGTGACCCCCAGGCTGCGCACCTGGTCCTTCAGGGGCACAGTTACCCCATTCAGGACCAGGGAATCCTCCACACCTGCCCACCTCCTGTCCCCCAAAAACAGTACTTCTGTCTTGTCAGGATTCAACCTCAATCTGTTAGCCGCCATCCATCCTCCAACCGCCTCCAGGCACTCACACAGGACCTTCACTGCCTTCATTGGTTCTGATTTAAAAGAGAGGTAGAGCTGGGTATCATCCGCATATTGATGGACACCCAGCCCAAACACCCTGATGATCTCTCCCAGCGGCTGTCTTTTCCTTCACAAATCCTGTCTTGAGGGTATGTCTGTGTATGACTAGGGTGAGCCTGTGACCTGGCTCAGGAACTAAGAATGTATCATTACAAAAGACTGGCCAGGCTCCCCAGGGTATCCAATCAAGTGAGCATTAACAGGTAACCTGCCAGACAGGAGATAAACAACACACTCAGATTTCTGTTGTAGACTTCCCTTTCTGTGATGTAGGTATGATGTAACTGGGGGTGGTCTTTGACTCCAAGGTGGGCAATTTAAAATGTCTATATAAGGGCGGACACACCTTGGTTCAGAGTCCTCCTCCTTCTCCTGCGTGTGAGTGGGGACCCTGTTGCAACAGTTCAATAAAGATCAGGCTTAGGAGCTGCTTTGCTTCTCAATATTCTCTGCTTGGCCTCTGTTATTTTCCTCCAACCGATGGAGAACCTACAAAGGACTCTACAGCGGTACCTCGGGTTAAGAACTTAATTCATTCCGGAGGTCCGTTCTTAACCTGAAACTGTTCTTAACCTGAAGCACCACTTTAGCTAATGGGGCCTCCTGTTGCTGCTGTGCCACCGGAGCACGATTTCTGTTCTCATCCTGAAGCAACGTTCTTAACCTGAAGCACTATTTCTGGGTTAGCGGAGTCTGTAACCTGAAGCATATGTAACCTGAAGCGTATGTAACCCGAGGTACCACTGTATTGGGGCTCTTGTGTCCCCCATAAGGGAATAAGGGCAGATTTCCGTTTATTCCAGGTGTCCTCCTGGCAGGAATTCGCCCTGCGTGGCAGGGGGTTGGACTAGATGACCCCTGGGGCGCCTTCCAAGTTCCACGATCCCAAGTTCCCGTAAAAGCTACTGCACGAAGCCTTCCCCTCTTGAAAACAACTAGATCTCTTTCTCTGTCTGCGTCTCTGGAGCCTTTGCATCATCTCCCGAGGGTTCCTTGGCGCAGGAAAGTCCCCTCCCTCCGAGAGCGCCACGTCGGAGCCGCCTGCCGCCCAGAGCGGCTGCCAGGCCCAATGGTCGGAGCGCCTGGCAGGCAGCTCCCGAGGGAGGGCGCCAGGGGCGCGCCTGGCAGCGCCCGCCTCCCCGCCACGTGGACCCAGGACGGCCGCCAGCAGCCGGGGATCGGCGCCGGTCGCTCGTGGGTCCCTCGGTCTGCCTGTCATCCCCACGATCCACGCGTGGAGAAGAAGATTCCTCGTGTTGCGCGTGGCTGGGGCTGTGCAGCAGCCGGGCAGGGAGAGGAGGAGGAAGAAGGCGGCGGGCGGGCGGGCGGGCGGTGGCATCTCCTGGGAAGCTCCAGTTCCCCTTTCCCCGGACCCAGGTCCTCCTTTCCCACGTGCAGAATATTAGGCAGGCGTGATCTCCCCGCCCCCCCACGCTGCAGTGGTACAGTCCATTCTGCCGCGGCCGCGCGCATCCTCGCATCTTGGGGCGTCCCCGGGGGAGGCGCGTGCTTGCGTGTGAACGGGTTCTGTCTGTCCGCTGTCGGAATCCGTGTTCTGGGTTGTCCCCCGGCTTCCCTGCCCGTGGGAACGCGTCCCCGTGGGCCCTCGCCACCTCCGGCGGCTGGTTGGCAAAGCCCCGGTGCCCACCGAAGCGACGAAGCGGGCGGCCCGCCGCGTGGGCAGGGCATGAGCGGACGGCGGGTTCCTGTGCCAACCTCTGCACGGTGCCAGGATGAGGGAAATGCTTCTGGCCGCGCTGCTCCTCGCGGTGCCAGCCAGCTGGGCGGCCCCAAAGGAGGGCGCTAACAGGTACCAGGTGGGAACCTGGGGGTGGGGAAGGAGGCACGGTGGGGTTTGAAGATGGGGGGGCTGAGGAGGGGGTCCTTGGTGCCCCCTCCAACAACACCTTCTCTTTGTGCCCTTTAGGTCTGAGCCCCTCCCCAGTGCCAGGGAGCCCCCCATCCCGAACCCCCTCGACCCAGGGCAGGAGTCTGCCAGGTGAGTTCCTTGCCCATCGCACCCCTTGTCCCCACCTGGGAGGACGCATTTTTGGGGGGGAAGACTGGCAGAGGGGTAGGCAAGGTCTCTCTGCCTCTGACCCAGTCAAATTCCCACTCCATTGTTACCCTCAAAGGGCCCCCCAGGCTTGAAGCAGAGGAACACCCCCCATAGAACCATAGAAATCTTGAATTGTAGAAATGGAAGGGACCCCAAAGGTCTTCTAGTCCACCCCTCGCAATACAAGTCTTTGTCCCTCTCCAGGCAGAGAATGGGCCCCCTCCCCTCTACTTCTGCCTCCCCCCCCAGCAGTCAGTTTTATTTTTTTAAAAAACCATGCTTTTTATTAAGTTTTCCATATTTCATTTCATTACACTACACATAACATAGCTTATATTATTTGCTCAGACAGAGCATCGACCTCCTTCCCTCCCTCTTTTCTGACTTCCCTATAACATTAACGCATCTATCTCATTTCCATAATCACTTCTTTGTCTTATATCAACATTTAAGAATCACTCTCTCATTTGTAAATTAGCATCTTAATTTCACGTTACCAAACATTTCATGTTAAAGCTACAAACGTTTTCAAATATTTACAATTTTCTTTCAAATAATAAATAAATTTGCTCCATTCCTTTTGAAATCTTTCATCGGGTTGATTCCTGATTCTCCCTGTCAACTTCGCCAACTCCACAAATCCTGCCACCGTTATCTGCCAGTCCTCCAGCGCGGGGAGTTCTTGCTGTTTCCATCTTTGGACCAGGAGGATTCTTGCTGCCGTTGTGGCGTACATGAACAAATCTACATTTTTAAAAATGAATTTCTTCGCTAATTAACCCCGATAAGAATGCCTCTCGTCTTTTGCTGAAATTATATTTTAATATCTTTTTTAGTTCATTTAGCAGTCAGTTTTCAATGAGGCCTGGTGCTCACACAAGCCCCCAAACCAGGCATCTAGTAAGGCAGCTTCTGAACATATACAGGTAGTTCATCCCTGGCATATAGTAAGAGGGCCTCTGAGCATGTCCAGAATACGCACCCGCCCCAATGAGGAACTGCAGGTGTCCCTCCCCACCCCTTCAAGGCGCAGTTTCCCCATCAGGCATTTTGATCCTGAGCAAACAGGAGCGGCCCAAAATTCTTTTTCTGTAAATGCCTCAGTCTGCTGGTACCTGGAATGGGCAGACCTTGGCTCCTTCCTGACCGTTGCGCCCGTTGCCCAGGCCCAGAGGCTCCCTGCTGCCCCCTGCCCTTGCCAAGCCCCACAACCCTCCGCTGCCCCCTGGTTTGCTGACCTGTGGCTTGGCCTGGTGTAGGTTGATACAGGAGTACCTGAAGAACGTCGGGCAAGAGGATGGCAAGGCCAGTGCCATGAGCAGGAAGCAGGGTAAGTTGCAATGGGGTCCCAGGGCCAGGATGGCCTTAGATGGCACCTCGGGGCCTGAGTGCCAGGGCCTGGCAGGGCGGGGAGCGTGAGCTGGGGGCCATAGCTGTCAACATTTTCCTTTTTTTAAGGGAAGTTCCCTTATTCCGAATAGGATTCCTTGCAAGAAAAGGGGAAAGTTGACAGCTGTGCTGGGGGCGAGGATAGAAGGCTGGCCCTGAGTGCCCGGGGGGGGGGGGGCTTTCTTCCAAGAGGGGCCTCAGGGAATCCCCTGGGGCAGGTGACTTTATTTGGGTCACTTTATTTGGGTTGGGAACAAATGCTTTGGGGAAGAAATGGGTAAAAAAGAACAAATTCTGCTGGAGGAGCTGAGCAAACCTCAGAACAAGCACAGGTGTGTGAGGCAAAAAGCGGGGGGGGGGACAGGACAGCTGGAGC